CTTTTAGGCTTTGTCTTCGATATTGTCGTTGAGGTTGTGTTTTCTGCTATGTTTTCCAGTACTTCGTAGTTGTTTTCTGTTGGTTCGTTATGTTCGTGCGCTTCGCAAGCAGCAGAATCCCTACAAACGATGTTGTATGATGTCTTTCAGGCTTTATCTGCCGTCTTGTTGTTCAAGCTTTATTTTCTACGATGTGTTCCACTGGTTTTTCTTTGTTCTGTGTTTGTTCGTGGAGTTTTGGCGCATCGACAACCATTTTGAAGTGGGTGCGTCTTTCATCGCGGTCTCGCTCACCCCGTGCGAGAAACTCCTGATCTCGGCTGACAAAATTAAAGGCAATCACACGTGCGACTTCTTGCGCACGCGAAAAGCAGGACGAGCTTTGGTACACTCGGTGCAGGTACATATGTTCTTAGCAGACATCTCCCGGGAGATAGCTGCAGAGCGATTCTGAATGACCTGCAGGACGCCTTGGACCCCCCGCAAGACCTGGAGATTCCGGCCACACTTCAGTTTTTTGCATGCCTTCCAGCAAGCATAGCACTGGCTTCCCGTCACAATTCGCCGAAACGGTTTGTTTGTAGTGCGATACTGCCAAGCCACGGTGTGCTTGGCACGCTTGCAGTAAGAACACACTGTTGCAGCGTCATGCTGAATACCTGCTGGGTTGCCTTGGCCAGAGCCGCGGATAGCACTGAACAGGTTTATGCTCGCAAGCTGTTCGGGGGTCAGTTCCTGCGCATCTTCCAAAGCTGCTGGCTGCCCTTTCTCACAACTCCAGTCCGGCAACTGCTGTCGCTTGGCTGGCGGTGTGACAGGGTCGGGGAATGCAGAAGGACGGCATGGCTCCGAAAACTTCATGTGCGCGCTGCTCGGTTTCGAGCACCCAAGCGGTACAGCACGATGCAACGCAGCCCCAGAGTTGAACCAAAGCTTCGCAAGCAAGCCACGGGCTTCAGCAGTCTTACAGTCTTATCGCTCCCATGCCAACATGCCACTGAAAAGTACTCTAGACAGACCCAGCCAATGCCCAGCACCTTCGCATCCACAGCCACGGATTGCATGCCGTGGGCATCGTCGTTTTTGGCTAGGTCCTGTCCGGAGCTCGGGGGGTTCTTAGCTTGGTTTAGGGTTCTTAGGGTTTGTAAGGTTCAAGGTCCAAGTAGCGCCTCGGCAGGCACGGCATTTTGTGGCACGTCCCCGATCATGTCGGCGTTTTTGGCTTGGTCCTGTCCGGAGCTCGGGGCTTCTTAAGTCTTAGGTGTTTAGGGTTACAAGGTTTAGGGTCGAGGTAGCACCTCGGCAGGAAAGGCATTCTGCTGCATGTTCTCGGCCAGGTAGGCGCTTTTGGCTTGGTCCTGAACCGGAGCTTGGGGTTTTTAAGTCTTAGCTTGGTTGGGGTGTTTAGGGTGTTTTATAAGGGTCGAGGTAGCGCCTCGGCACAAGCGGCAATCTGGGGCATGATCTCGGCCAGGTCGGTGTTCTTGGCTTGCTCCTGTCCGGAGGTCGGGGCTTTTTAGCTTGGTTTTATAGGGGCTTAAGGTTTGGAGTCGAGGCAAGGCCTCGGCAATGACAGCATTCTGTTGCATGCTCTCGGCAATGTCGGCGTTCTTTGCCTGGTCCTGTCCGGAGCTCTTGGCTTCGTGGTTTGGTTTAGGGTGCTTAAGGTCCAAGGTTTAAGGTCAAAGCAGCACCTCGGCATCGGCTGCCTTCTGCTGCGTGCTCTCTGCCACGTTGTCGTTGTTGACTTGGCCCTGTCCGGAGCTCCGGGTTTCGGGGGGGTCGAGCTTTGGGGGTTTTAAGTCCTGAGTTTGGGGTCAGGGCTCAAGGCACCGCCTCGACATCGACAGCATTCTGCTGCATGTTCTGTGCCAAGTCCTCCTTCTGGGGTTTGTCCTGGCCGGAAAGCAACGTTTGCAGGCGTGCTTGGCTTTGCCCTGCCCGGAGCTTAGGGTTTTCAGGACTTTGGGTGCAGGGTTCAAGGTTTAAGGTGCGGTTCGACCTCGTGAGTACTTTTCTGCTTGTTCTCGGCCTTTTCGTCGGGCTTGTTGACATGGTCCTGTCAGGATGATTTCGCTCGGGGTTTGAGGTGCGGTGAGAGTGGAGAGTGGGTTTACAAATCAAGCCCCCACCTGGCCGTCGCAAGTACTGGCATGCATGACCTCATAAAGATCGGCCCGCAGACGCAGAACACCGCCAGTTGTCGGCACTTTCCACGCCAGGCATTGAGCCAGCAACTCTGACTGGGAAAGGCGAATCACTTGAGCTTCACTGAGCTTCTTCTTCGGCGCCATGCCGCCATGCCGCACAGCAGACTCTAGACTTCCAAAGCCGTAACACACCCTTGAAAAGTTTTTCAAACACTACGCCTAGTCTGCAAGTAGAGTAGAAGGGTCGAGGGTGTGAAGCTTAATTACACGATTTAATTTGGGGTTTTCACAGTCTTCAGGGCTTAAAAGCACCAATCGCCCGTCGATTGGAGCGAAGCCAAAATGGCTCACCAGCAGCAGATGCTTAAAAATACTACGAATCCTCTTAGTGACGCTTAGACGCAACGACCCCTCCAACCGTTCCCCCGAGTGACACCAATATGCTTTTCGATGAAAAGACACATAATAACCAAGTCATTCCCCAAGTAGACACTCGATTTGAGAAGCACCCGCTGAAGCCAGCCATTCCCCATGTAGATGCTCGATTTGAGACGCACCCGCTCAAGACACACGTCATTGGCATCACAGCACATCAGAACCAGCCATTCCCCATGTAGATGCTCGATTTGAGACGCACCCGCTCAAGACACACATCGTTGGCATCACAGCACATCAGAACCAGCCATTCCCCATGTAGGTGCTCGGCGCATCAAACCAACCATTCCCCATGTAGACGCTCGATTCAGAAGCACCGCTCAAGACGACATCAGCGGCAGCACTGCACTCGAAACCAGCCAACCCCCATGTATACACTCGATTTCAGAAACACCGGTTCGAGACACACATCAGTGGCATCACAGCACTCCGAAACCAGCTAAGCTGGGTCACTGCAGGAATCCACACAGAAGGTAACATCGATGTAGGCCCAATCACCGCAAATTCAGGCCGAGCCAAAATGGCTCTTCATGGCTGCTATGCTAAACCGCATAGAAACGCTCACACGTTACGACTTCTGCGATTGCTTTCCCGCATGCTCTGCAGAGATCTACATACATGCGTTATAAGTTCGGTTGTCGACTGTACCTGCAGTACCAGCACGAGTTTCTACTGCTCCTGTAATGCCGCCCAAAGCAGTACAAGTTCCTCATGTTTCCCGACCTCTACCTGCAGAACCAGATCATCCGCCTCTTCGACACACTACCATCTACACGTGCGGAGG